TGCTGCAAAAACAAATGATCGTCGAACGTATAATGAGGAAAAGCGTGATGTTACAATATTTGATGACATGTTTTTTCTGATGAGATCTATATTATAGTTTTGTTTTAAAAAAACTTGCTTACGCACAAAAAAAAAAGATAAATTATAGTCCAATAGCACACACGGAAGAGGGGTGAAGTACTTTAAAACAAAGGAACAGGGGTGAACAAATTGTATTTTAAAAAATGTTGTTTTGTACAAATTACCATTTCAGTGCAAAAAATACATTTACCAATTATAAATTATAAAATTTCAAAGTAATAAATCACAAATTACAAGTTACAAAATTAATTCCCAAGTAATTAAAAACAAACTATTTTAAACAATTAATATAACATTATTAAAAACTAAACACTTTTCAACAAATATTTAAAAATGAATAGCTACAGCTATATTGTTGTGTACACTAAAAGTAAATTCCATTTAATGTTGCAAAATGAAAACCCTTAAAAATTGACATATTTTTCAACTTAAAAATACGATTTTAACATTGTGAAAAAATTCAAAATTTATTTGAGGTATTCTTTAGTACCTAATACCGGTGTACAGTCAAAAGTCAACAAAATTATCATGCACCCCTTCTTACCCTTAAGAAGAGTGGAAGTCTTTTACATTATTTCTTTCCTTTTGGGGATGGCTATTGAACTCAAGATCGAGTGTTTAGTATATTAAACATTGGCAAATTTCAAATTACTAGAAAATAATGATTTTTTATAAGCCATTATTAATTACAAAGATTCGAAGTGCTTATCTGGGACAAATTACAAAAAATCGAATTAATTCATTTATAAATAATCAAAACTTACAAGTCTTAATATCTGAAAATCAGATCTTAGTTAGGTCTAAAATTGAGCTATAACATGTGCGATTTTCTCAAAAATCCGTTTTGAAACTTTTGTTTTTGTTAAGGAAAACCCGCCAAAAAATGGAGGGCGATTACACTTTTACCGTGTTAATCTCTAGGCCTTCGCGTGTGAGTGTGTCAACAGTCAACCGGTGTTTGGAAATACTTTCATTGTTATGGTAATTAGGATACACGGGCAACAACGGCAATAAATTATTGTAGACAAGATTACCCGCCCTAATACTAAAAATACATTTTCAAGCACATTATTGTCGTTGCGGTCACGATTGAAATATACAAGGTTATTGCACATATACCTACCCCTTCTTGTTCATCAAAAATTCGATGATGATGGAAACAAATAATATGTCAGTGTAACTAGAGCCAAAATCAAGTATACCTGAGTGTACATAGTAAAATAATTCATATCCCCTTACGCTGTCGATTTTTGGGTTACATTTTATATTTTTAACACTCGACACTAGATTTTCCGTGCAAGTCTATATCATTATAATATTGTTATTAATAAAAATTAAAAATAGCAGATATCCGAGATTTGGGGGATTCGATGAGCCGTTCTGTCCCATGCAAGCCGTGTGCAATTTTTTTTCACCAGTGGATCAATGACAACGGCTTTTCGGTGTGCAAACAGTGCCGAAAGGACATAAATATATATATATATATATTCATATTATGGTCTACATTTCCTGTCCGTGTACTTTCATTACGAATTTTTTTTTTTAAAAATAGAATTTCGACCGGATTGTTTTCTCCCACTGCACGCACACACAACACAGCAGCTGAGGGGCAGTGCACTGCACACGCCGTTGCGTTCGAATCGTTACACTCACAGTCTATACGTGTGATTGCTGCTACCAACACCGGCATTGAATAGGATTATTCGTTTTTTGTTCCGTTCTTATTATTTTTTTTTACATAATACATTTTCACCCCAATCCGGCCATAGGTTTTTTTTTTCGGTTTTGCAAACCTAACCCCGTTGTACATACATTTCGCTCCGTTTGATTTTGCCGACTATTAAAAACAAATAAAAAATGGCCGATGTCGAATATCAAATCACCACCACCACCGAGAAGAAAGTGAGGAAATCCAAAAAAGGCACAACCACCTCGAGTTCCACCAAGAGGAGAGAGAGCACGGACCAAGGCGAAGTGACCATCACCGAAATCGAGAACAAGGAAAACCATTACCCCGTCGAAAACGGACATGGCGACAAGAGGTATTTTCCAAAAATCCCCCAAGAACGACACCCGAATTTTTCACAACCCCTAAAATCTAACCCTCCCATATCCCATTACAAAGAAAACATAAAAATTTAATATCATAGCTAATATTTCACGTGGAAAATACCTCTTGTCCGGAGAGCTTATTATTGGTAAGAATACAATAGAATAAACTCGGGCCGTTATTAAAATGTGTTAAACGTAAAGAATACATGTACATTACTGTTATTCGTCTGGATTAGTATATTTTAATAGTGTCAAAATGTGTGTGTGTTTACTTATCGCTTAATCAAACAATTGATTAGGGTTTGATCGAGAAAACAATAACCGACTCGTGTGAAATAACATTAAATAAAATAAATACATTTCAACTAGCAAAACGATTAGTTATACAATAGAAACGTTGGGTTTACACCTGAATCACATAGTGATGTGTGCAAAAAGGATTCCACCGTCGTTCCTTGTCTGCATTCTGTTTGATGACCAACTTTTCTAAAAGAATCACCTGTAGCCTTTTTGGCGGCCGTGTACCGTTTGAATGATTGTGAAATTCCATTGACTCGCTATTCAACGTTTAATCATTTATTTAAGAAACATTAGCATATCGAAAAAGAAACTAGCTGTACATAGAATGTGATTCATGGCGTGTGGGTATTATAGCGATCGTAGTGACACACTTTGAAAACAAATAAAATAATGTGTATTATGTAACAACGTTATTAGTTATTATTTACTCGTAGGAGGTAAAACGGATCTCTCCTACACTTATCGGACTCATCACTAGACAGTTCTTGGTATCATCGGTGTCAATTAGTAATTATCGCATTAAAACTACCTATTATTATTAGATTTGGAGAATCCGATGATCGAATCGTACGAGTAACGCTAATATTCATACAAATAACAACCGTTTTTTAATTAATTGTATTACCTATTAGTTTTTTAAGCGGAATTGAAATTGTAAGTCTACCCGTGATCCTTAGAGATTCGAAAATTTACTTTTACTATATTTTTTACTACTGTTTACATATCATACACTTGATTTTGGCTCCCGTTATGCTGTCATATTTGTTTTCATCATCAACTATTTGATGAAGAAGGGGTATATGTGTATACAAGGTTGTATAGTGCTTATTATTCCAAAAATATAATTTTATTTTTAATATAAAAGTTAACTGGTATATTGATAACTTATCAATAAAATACAATCCGCACCGGCGTACCTTCTCAAATAATTAATGAATTACAACGCTATAATAAATTACATGTAAACTACTAGTAATAATAAGGTTTATGAGTTAATATGGAAAATACATTAAAACGATAAAATGGGTATCGACATTCCAATAGGGTCTTGCAACTAACCAAGTGTTGAATTTGTTATTAAAGTTTTGCCTTAAGCTTGCCCACGCTTACCTTGCCAATTTTAATCGCGTCAATTACAGTTTTTAAACTCTGCTGGTCGATTAAATTTAATTCGTTAAAAAACATCGTTTTTTTGTTAGTAATTTGTATATGGCCTCCACTAAAAGATAATAAAAAAATGTCGGAAGCTCCTAGTTTATTAATATTACATTCACATAATTCTAGTTGGAGTAGTTTTGTATAAGCACTGCGACTTGCTATTTGTCAAAATGCTCATTTGCTTGAAGCGCGTCGAACGTTAAAAATTTGATTAAATTGAAACTGGGTTGAGTTTTTTTTTTAGTATACGATATTAAGTGTTTAACCTCGACGACCTTATTAATTTTAGAATTCAAAGGTCATCAGACCTAAGCTATAATAATATTATATTATGAGAGTAGGTATTACCGCCATCGCGTGAACAGACAACATTTTATACGGGCGTGGTGCCAGGCTTGTTTGATTTTTCGGTCATTTTTTGAGCTCTTGACATTTTATATATTTTGTATGTATAAAAAAAACGATTTCATAAATTCCAAACAAATTTACCGATTAAAAATAAAACAGCTTGCTTTTTATATTTTTCCACGTTTATTTCTGTATATAGGTTGGCTGCTGTTTATTTATTTTAATAAATATGTTATGCATATTAAACAATGTTCGAAATCGGTTCCCATTGCTAACATCAAACATTCTACAAAACTTCACACAAACGTTTGACTCGAGGTTGAATTTGTTTTTTTTCAATCACACACACATCCGAGTAGACAACATGCTTACCGGAGTGGCCAGTGTTTGGATTACTTACTAATTTATTTACTTATAAGTAATTTGTTATGCGAAACAATAAGACATAAAACAATTTCGACAAAAAAGCCTTGACGCGAATCTGAAAACGATAATACAAATATTTAATAACAACTAAATACAGTCATCAATAAAATGTTATATTCTTTTTACATTATAAAAAAAGCTTGGCGACAGAGTTTTTAAATATTTTACAATTAATAGTCTTAATACACTTCAGTGTAGTTTCCAAACTGAAACTGCCAACAAACGACAGGGCGCTATTTTTAAGGTGTTCTTCTTGGTAATGCAGAAATGGGATCAACCTTTTCAATATTAACCAATGATAATATATTTTTAACGTGAAAACAAAAACAACAAAGAGAAACGTCATATCGAAATATTTTAAGAAAACGTTCGGTCATTAAGACATTCCGTACAAAACGATTTTGGAACAATAGTCAACAACTAGACGGTTTATAGATAGACATTTTTCTCCCAATACAATCTGGTCTTGGAATTTCTCTAGCATATGTCAATTTGTTTTTTAAATCGCCACCAAAAACGTGGACAAACCAATATCAAAAACCTTTTCCCCTAGAAGGGGTGGACAATTTTTTGTTTGTTATACGAATCCTGGCAAAATGTACTCATCAGCGGTTTTGGTTTTTTTTTCTGTTTAGCTAATTTTCAGCGGAGAATACACCAAGGCGATGAACAAGGACTGGCATTCGGGGCATTTCTGCTGTTGGCAATGCGACGAATCGTTGACCGGCCAGAGATACGTGCTCAGGGATGACCATCCATACTGTATCAAATGCTACGAATCCGTGTTTGCCAACCCGTGCGACGAATGCGACAAGATCATCGGCATCGATTCTAAGGTAGAGTACCACCCACCCAGCCGTTTACATTAGATTGCAATTCCATAGATGACAATGTTGGTGGGAATTGCAATCTAACTTGATTGCTGCAGTCCTCAAATTGTCGTTCGTTTAATTTTAACTTTCTTTCTTCTGCAGGATTTGTCGTACAAGGACAAACATTGGCACGAGGCATGTTTCTTGTGCAGCAGATGTCGCGTGTCTTTGGTGGACAAACAGTTTGGATCCAAAACCGAAAAGATTTACTGCGGCAACTGCTACGACTCTCAGTTCGCTGCTAGGTGCGACGGATGCGGAGACATCTTCCGTGCAGGTAATGATAATTGACTGTGAGAGTTTGAAACGTCAGCATAAAACTTACACGATTACATCCGAAAATTATCCACATAATAAGAGGTTATTTGATGAGAGAATCAGCTGACAAGGAATGGTTGATGAAAGAATCAGCTGATGGCAGACACTTTCATGATCCAATGCATTTCCTTTAAGGGAGTGATTGAATTTTTTATTACTGACTATAACATATTTTTGGACTACAGTGGTTGGTGGTACTGAATAAAGACAATCGACAATTCGTACCAGAATTTCTCAATAAATAAAAAAAATTATTGAAAACCGGACACTTCTATTAAAAAAAAACCCCGTTCATAATGAGCAGACCAGGTGAAACGTTGTATAAGTTTTTATCGCCCTATCTGGTTCCTTCATCCCTTGTTTTAAAACATCTCAGACGTCTAAATATATTCGCCTTGTGGTCGTTTCTTAGTTTATCTTTGATTACGTTGTACTACATCCCTTTGGAAACTTAACCAAAAACACATAAGATTCTTGGGACTTCGTTTCGTCGTATCCGATTTGATAGATAAGTTATTATTTTATTTATGAGCAGACAAAGAATTTTCGAACACTCCACAAACATGTGTATTTTTTTTTTTTTTTTAGAAAGACGAATTTTTTTATGATAAAATATGCTCGAACTCGTTTAGACTGAAAATCGAGAGTGGTCATTCTAGATCCAAAGTATAGCTGTCGTTTTGTTTTTATAAATAGTTATTATATATCTCGAAGCCATATTTGGAGTTCCGGAAATTTGTCATGCATAACGGACGCTTGCTTTCTTAAACCTCTTGTTTCTATTTTTTATTTTATTTATGGCATTGTGCATGTTTTTTTATTTCTGTGTTACCCAATTGATGTAACAACAACCTGGCCAGTTTAATCTGTTTGGATATGGGCTTGATTTATATAACGAATCACTCAGTAATGGATCACTTTTATGATTTTTATTTTTTTCAATTTTTTAGATATCCTCGGTTTGTTAAATTGGATTTTTAAACAATAATAATACTTGTATGGTTTTATACGCCCTCGTGGCGTAAACGCATTAGACGACACGTTTAATTTCGCTAATCGTTCTTTAACTACAGACAATTACTTTGTTTTCTTGGAAAACCCTCTTTTAAATAATTGTCTCTCTGACTGTAGTTTGTATTTGCGTATTCATCTTCTATGGGCACAAAACTGTATCACCAACAATAAAAAAAATGTACTAAACTTTAAAAATATTCTATTTCAGCTGTATGACAAAAAAAACTGTGGGGTTTTTAATTTTTTAATCTGTAGGTTTTTTTTAAATTTTGATATCTATTTTATTCTATACGACTTGATTATGACAGCATCATTGGCCAGCAGTAACACACACACAAAAGTCACACACATCTAGTCCTCGACACAGAGGCCAAAACCGGGAGGCTAATAATTGTACTGAGGCTTGTATGATTTTTCTAATAGAAAACTATAACACAATATAACCAAACGGACCTAAACGCGTTTTTTTACTACGTAGACGTCGGTTTTTGTTGATTAGAAATTCACACCGTTTAAACGTGCTAACATAGCGATGACATCACCGTGTGTGACCGAGCGTTGCTTAGTTGTGTATCACATAATTATAGTATATATGCGTTTTCGATAAGTCCCCGCAAGCGCAAGGACAAAAAAAGAGTTAAAGTCGTCAAAAAAAAAAAAAAATGATATACAAACAGTTTTGACATTGATACACAACAATAATGCTGTATAGTATAGTGAATTAGGGCATCTAATGGACTTTGGGTGTCGTTGTCACGCCTTTATCGTTTCCTGAGGATTACATAACTATCATAATGTGCACTCGATGGGGTTTTGATTGTCTCGGGAAAAAAAGTAATCGGTTGGCCGACCAAAGGTGTATGGTATTATAATATTATTATATTTGGACCGTGGGCAGGACGGAAGGTCGCCGAGACCGAATGGGAAGGGGACGGCACCAGCACCAGCAGCAGCACGCCATCGCCTAATAGAAAATGTATAATATTATGTATTTTTTTTTTTTACGATCATTACCACCGTGTACCTCGTCTACCTATAATATACCTTTTACGCCCGTCACGGTTCGGTTCAGTATCTGTGTAAACATGTCGGCGGACGTGATCACCAGCAAGTTCGGTAATATAACGCTGAAGACGATCAGCCCGAAGAGAGATGCCGACGACGACGTGGCCGTGCTGTCGTCTTTCCTGCCGGATTTCCTGATGAACGCCGAGACGAAAATCAAAAACCGCATGTTCGAATGCTCGCTGAAAAGGGACTGCAAGCTGGGAGATCCCAAAGCCACCCCTCCAGGTAGAATTCATACACAACCGGGTTCGTTCAGGTCCAGGTCAGGACTTGGGTGTTTGGTGTGAACTTGAACAACTTACCTGAACGCTTTTGGTCGACTAATTCTAAAAAAAAAAAAAAAAAATGTTTATTAAATACCGACTTTTCAGAGTTATTACTATGTGGATTTTGGTTTGCTGCTGGTGCTCGATGGTATACTCTGTAGGGTAAAATTTTCGAAAAATTGGGTTTTATCAAATTTATTACCATTAAATTTAACTATGGAAACTAAAAAAAATAAATGTTCCGTGATATTTCCTGCAAAATTCTCATAAGAATTGATTTTTTGACCGTGAATAGATTTTTTTTTTAATATTTAAAAACAATTGTTTTTGATAATGAGAGTTTTTATAAAATTGTACACAATTTAATTGTATACAATTTTCCTTAACCAAATTAGAGAACTAGTAAAAATAAAAATGAAACTCTATATAGCAATAGTGATGATAATTTTTCCATTTTTGTTTGTATGACTAAGCTTAGGTAAAATTCGGTTTCCTCATTTTTTATCTTGGAGGCAAAGCTATTTCTTTGACTTTTCTATAAATATTTTGAGACAGTAGCCCCATTTTCAGACCCATTTCAGACTTACCTTTGGTACTTATAGTTCATATTGAATACCGAGCCCATAGTTAAACGGTTAGATTGGTACTGAAACCAGATGAGAATTACTATATTATGGTAAAATAATTCCCTGACCAATTTTTAACTTAAGGTATAACAATATTTTTAAATACACATTTAAAACTTGGATTAGATTTTTTTAGCACAATATACGTTGGACATAGTGTAATACCGTGTTTGTGACGTCTTTGAAGAAATGATAACAATTGTTTTAATTTTTTTTTTACCATAAAGAGACATTAGACTATGACCTTGCCTCGGTTCTGACAAATTCCTTTTTTTTATTAGTTTGTTTTTTTAGTGTTTTTTACAGTTATTGTATGTTAATATACGTTTAAATGTAACATAATATTTATATTTCAAACTAATTGTTAAACTATAACATTAATACATAATAAAAGCTTTATAAAAGGAGACTATTTTTAATGAAAAACGTTATAGATGGTTCAAATGAAAGCAAACAAAAATAATATTTCTTCCTAAAAAAACATTTTCAAATATTTTTCCATATTTATATTTTAATTCCGTTTTAAAATTCAGTACTTATGCTGCGTTCACTGAAGGTTATTGCAACGTTCTTCTGTGACTAATCGAAAAATGTCTCAATATATTTATATGTTGAAAAATACAGAATTGTTGACGACTAAGTATCATAAAACCACTGGACATATACAGAACCTAATGGTGCTTGTTTATGATTGTATTTTTTATGATCACTTTATAATGGTTTTTTTTTTACATCAAAATTATTTTATTATAATTTCGAAACGATTTTCCTGTAATTTTTTTTTTTTCAATTTTAAATCACTTGTAGAACTTCTCCACTCTTTTGACTTTTTTGAGTAATTCGATTTTATCAATTCAGTAAAAGAGTTATGTTAAATGTAAAATGGGTAAACAATATTCTTCAAATCGGTTTGGCTAGCAAAAGTTCTCAATATACTATTCTGTTATCAATGTTTTATTGATACATTTATATATTTTAACAGGTAATTATATTTTTTTACGTTTGTATTTAATTACCACACTATAACTTAAAGCAATAAACAACTTATACTCTGCGGTAAAAAAATAATGTAATAAATACCCACACGGAAATTATAAATTAAAAATATTGCCTATTTAACTTGGCATTGGCACATAACGTACCGACCATGTTCAAAATTGAAAGTTTTGTAAATGTGTAAATTATTTTAAAACTTCGGTGTTTGATTAACAGCTGTGTCCATTTCGTGGGCAGCTCATTGTATAAGCATATTTAACATTCATTATCAAAATCTTAATTTATGATGTCCTCCTCTTAGTTGTTAATAGGTCGTAAGTAATATTCGTAAGTGGTATACGATTACCTAATAATATATTGAAAAAGGATAATTATCATGTTTTTCATTGATAAGTCATTGAATATAAATTACTTAGAATAGTATAACTCCGACCCACACAACAGGATATTAAAAACAATAATATTTGTATGATGTCTTCGAATAGGTTAATAGAATAGAGAAAGTATATGAGTAATAACACTTTCTAAACATTAGTTTTTCTAACACTTGGTAAAAAATTCATAAAAAATTGTATTAAAATATTGTCATAAAGAATATAGATAGAAGCATTGTATTTTAGACAACATAATATGGCCAATATATTATATTAAAAACTATGTAGAGTATATTTTAAATACTCTGAGACCAGTTTTTGGCCAGAGATAGTTTTGTAAATGTATTTAAAATTCTATGCACGTAATCATTTACGGTATATGTAGATAGAATTGAAAAATTATAATTATTTTTCAATTGTTCAAAAGAAAATGTTTGATCAAAAACATTTTATATATTATTTTGTTTGTTTATATGATAATTTTATTTCTGTTCCGTTGACAATAAAACAAATACAATTTTATTATTAAACGTTATAACAATAACTATTAATAATTATTAATACAACTGATAAAATTAATATTCATAGTAAAATTACATATATATATATATAAATATAATTGTAGAACATTCCAAATAGCTGTTTTATTTTTTAGATAACATTAATTGTTATAATAATATATATTCTTGAAGTGTAGTAGAAACGTTATTACTCAAATATTTTCACTTAAGCATTTAAGAAAGATTATTATTTTCTCGCTGTATAAGGTTATTGTAATTAATTTCCTTGTTAATAACGTGATTGATTTGTAAGACATTGTCCACTTTTATTAGCTGTCTGTTTGGTTCTAGATTAAATATTCAACATATAAGAATACATTTTTTTTATAATAATTGTTTGTTTAAAACTCTATATTAATCCCATAAAACAATGGTTTATGCGATTGAATTTTTTATTTTTTATTCATTTCGAAGGAGAACCGTTATTAATAGTTATTTAATATCTGATCTATTATGAAGAAAAACAATGGTTTTTTATTCAATGTCTACACTAGACGGATTTTATCGGATATGTACGATCGATTTATCTAAAGATCTATATTGTGTGTGCTATTAGACACTATATTATTTTGCTTCTCGAATCGATTGACTGCTACTTTGTGTGTATCGGGTGAAATCGGTCCTCCCGTGCGATAGCGATCGCTTTGGCAGACAAATTCGGTCGCAAGGCTCTGCCGTGTTAAATTCTACTATTATCAACTAATCTAAAGAATTTTACTAATGGCGAAACCTTGATGATGCGGATTCGCAATGAATTGAATCGGCGGTACACGCAATGGGCGTGCGGGTATAGTGTGCTCGTCCTTACTATTGTCTCCTTACAGTCTGGCGCGCGCTTTGCGTGCATTTCCGCCGACAAAAACCAATACACAATCATCCGCATTGTGTGTGTGATTTGCTCGAGATCGAGACGCACGGCTTGAACGACTTAAACCCGTCTTGAGCCGACCTTGATCTAAAAAAAAAAAAAAAAAATAATAATTACAATAATAAACAAATTATTCAAACTCACGCCTCGGGAGGATTATCGAAAATCTGGTACCGATAACGGATTAAAACGGGTAACGCCGCCGAATTAGCCGCGTTTAGATCGCCATGTGAAATTTTGTTAAGTACATATTTTTGCCCGTCCAAAACGCTCCAAACGAAAACACTCTCTGCCGTATATGTACAACAATCGGTCGCCGACGACCTTCCTTATAGGATCATAAAGACAATCGAAACAACTAGTCAGCGCGATCGCCTGAAACGCACGCCGGTGCCGGTTGTCCGTTTGTTTTTGGTCAAATAAATGACTCGCCATATTTGTTTTTTATTTTTTTTTCGCCGTCTCCCTATACGGAAGAACGAGGGTCCTACACCGGCTGACTCATCGGTCGGTTTTTTATGCGTACACAACAATATGCGGCGAAAATACCCACACCGACGACTACTTGGCTCGGCACAGCAGCTTTTCGCAGAGACAAATTAAACAACTGGCAAATTCGATCATTCAAATGTTGTTACGTTATTATTCTGTCTACCGGCGGTCGTGGGAGGTATATGTAACCGGCATTTCTTTCACCCGGGCCGGCGGACGTAGGCGGTGCAGAAGGACCAGCGCGGAATAGGAAAAGTTTTTTTATAGCGCCAATCTTAGCGCAGTCTCATCTCAATGATAATATCAAGTCTGACGGGTATCGGTTTTTAAACGCTACCGCGTGGGATATCTCACGCCGTCGCCGAAGCACGTGGGCGCCACGATAATCAGACACCATATTTTTTCATTATTACTTACATTTTTTTTTTCCTATCCGTTATCGATAACACCTTTCATCGGTCGACGTTCACTACTATGCACGTCTGATAATGAATCGGCGATGATTAATATTGTTGCAGGAACGAAAAAGATGGAATACAAAACCAGACAATGGCACGAGAAATGCTTCGCCTGTGTAGTGTGCAAGTCGGCGATCGGCACCAAGAGCTTCATACCCAGGGACCAGGAAGTGTACTGTGCTACTTGTTACGAGGAGAAGTTCTCTACTCGCTGCGTCAAGTGCGACAAGGTAGGTGGACGAATTTAAGAAACGCCCCCCCAAAGGTGTAGCCGGTGGAACAAAGATCAAATAGATGGTATGGCCAAACAGAGGGGGCATGGTGAATGAATAGAAAATAGACCAGTCACGATGTAGTCCAGCTCTTGGCAATGGGAAAGTCGCAATTGGCGCTCGCGATGAATGTGTGCAGTAACCGAGGAATATGATAGATTAAGGCATTGATGAGGTAGTTTGCCAATAGCAGAAACATACGAGGAAGGTACGAAAATGAAATAGTAACAGAGATTGGGGATGTAGAGGGGAAAGAGTCGGTAGGCGGATGTTGAAGGATTGGATTCGAGTAGTCGACCACACTTGAATGTGCAAGATCCAAGGATGTAAGCTCCCAACAAAAGCCAATAGTGTGTGCTTATCGTTTCCTATTGAGTATTTATTAGTTGGGCGAAGGGCTTGTAAGGGATAAGGTCCTCCCATTATGGTCTTTGGCGACGGTGAAGTGTTTATTCTAATTGTTTTAATCGTATCATATTTAGATCATTACTAGCGGCGGTGTGACGTACAAAAATGAACCGTGGCACAGGGAATGCTTTTCGTGCAGCAATTGCAACTCTTCATTGGCTGGACAACGTTTTACATCTAGAGACGAGAAACCTTACTGTGGCGATTGTTTCGGAGAGCTTTTTGCTAAGAGATGCACTGCATGTGTCAAACCAATAACAGGTAATTGTATAATTTCGTTTACCATATATTTTTTAGTTTAAGTCATTAGACCACCGTGTCACGGATCTGATGTAAAAAAAAAAAAGATCATACTTATGATAAAACCCAACTCACAGCAGTACTGCAGTTGAAGGTATTTCATTGTCATTCCATGTGTTATTATGTGTATTTTTCTACTGATATTCAATTTTTATTTACCGCTTCCTTAAAATCTTATTGTTTGGTAAAAAAAAAATTCGCTAGAAGGCTACGACCAGATAGGTAATTAATTTTAGCGCTATTCAATTACTAGTAGACTATTTTTCTGTTGAAAAAAAAATGTCTTTACAATAATTACTGCAGCTGTGTCATGCTGTGAAGTGACCTTTTTTTTTTTTTTGGTGACTACCTAAAATTTCCGACAGGTATGTTTTGTTTTATTTGTTTATTTATTTTAGCTTAGATAAGATGTTGAAAATGTATGGTCTCACAATGATGAGTTTATATATATATACTTTTTAACTAGTTTTGTGTCATACGTTTTTTACCACTGGATCGATTTTTATATAGCAATTCTGTAAATCGGGAATTGTACTTTATAAGTTTAACAATTTCATCACTTCCCCTTTTAAATTTAATTAAATACTTCCAAAATTGTTCTTAAAGTGTTCTTTAACTTTAACATAATAGTATGTCTATCAGTACTTTCTGAAAAATGGTCCAATCGTAAAATTAAAAAAACCTAACCAAAAAAATGTAGTCAACCCTTTCATCCACAAAAAGTTGACATTTTTATTTATTTTTATTTTTAGGAACACTTTTAGGAAATATAGGAAAAATGTATTTAAATAACAACGCGAAAATTAATTTAAGCTCACAAATTATCAAAAAAAGGTTCAAATACGATTTTAATAATGATTCGAGTTTTATTTAAATCCATTTTTAGTAATTATTTGTTCTTTGTTCAAATAATTTCGCTCGTTAAATTGATAATTAATTTGAATTTTTGTTATAAATAACAATGTACGTAGTTATTATTTGAGTTTTATTTGTAATTCTTTCGAATAATTTCATTAGAAGTATTCAAATACGATTTTAATAATGAAAACCAACTCGATAATTATTTAAATTAATGCGGTTTTTTAATAATAATTATTAAAAATGTTTAATTAAATACATTTTGACGTTTAATTTTTTTTTTTTTTATGAGTTTTATTTACTTAAATACATCGTTGTTTGAATTAAGTATTTAAAATTTTACACTTTGAATAACGCTCAAATTTTTTTTTATCGTCCACATTTTTGCATCAAATCGAGTGTTTTTTTTTTTACAACTGTTTAATGGGTTTTTTTTTTGCCTTTTAGGAATCGGCGGCACTAGATTTATCTCTTTCGAGGATCGTCACTGGCACAACGACTGCTTCATCTGCGCCTCGTGCAAGACTTCTTTGGTCGGCCGAGGGTTCATCACCGACGCCGAAGACATCATCTGCCCGGAATGCGCCAAACAAAAGCTTATGTAAACCACCACTTGCGGCCACCGACAATCAACCACTTAATTATTTATTTATTTATTATTTAAAAAAAAAAAAACACACCATCTGTTTCTTTTCTATTTGGCGTACACCACAAGCATTATTACCATTAATATATTATATACTATTACAGTTTTTTTTTTTTTTTTTTGTTTTCCAAGTGCGCCTTAACTACACACAATAAATATTTATATATCTATATATATATATATATAGCTTATAGTAGCTTTTTTGATATTATTATCATTGTTATTTTCAAACGTGTACGAATCAAAGATCACTTTGTGCCTTAAAATGAAATTAAAAAAAAAAAATTATATAGAATTTATTAGGCGTTTGTGTTAAGGTAAAAAACTAACATGTATTATGTAATTATATATGTAGCTGCTGAGAAATTACTAAATATTATCATAAGCTATACGGTTTCACTAACTTTGTTTTATTTAAAATTATATTATTATTACTATCCTAAATAATATTATAATAATATAATTATATAATAATAATTTAATTATTGTTATTATTATTAGTTTTGTTAAGCGTAAGTCTACTATAAAAACCGACAGTCGCACAACAACAATAATTATACCACCGTTTTACTTTGTTTGGTTATCCAAAAGTATTATTTTATATGAATGTATTGAATTTTGTTTTTTTTTTTTTTTTGTGATCAACTAGTCAGGTTTTATTGAAAAATTCTAATTTTGTTTTTGTTTTAACACTACAACAATACTACATTTCACGGGTACACTGTAAACTGAAAAGAAAAAAAAATTGTGGCCTTATCATTACCGTCCTCGTTGTTGTAGGCGTATCCTGTTGAAAACCATAAAAATACATTTATTTATATTACCGCCGAAATAATATATATATATATATATAAAGCATGTACCTAACATATTATTATAATAATAAACATATTTTGTTTTACGGCTATTTAATTTTAGTTTTGAATAATAGTGTGTACACGTTGTAAGAGTTTAATTTAGTCGAAGCAAAAAAAAAAAAATCGAGCACAGAGCTGTGAAATATGTCACCTTAAAAGAAAATATAATATAAATTTATTATTCTTATTCTTATTATTATTATTTTTGGTTAAAATCAATAATCCAAAAGGTGAGCATAGTCGTTTGTATGTATTTTTGATTATTAAACGTAAGATACATTTTTTTTTTTTTTGTAATAGAATATTATTATTATCGTAACGCGTTATCGATTCGACTAACAACACTCGGCTAATATTGATTCATCACTTATTTATTTATTACTTTAGCCATATATTATTCTATATATTGTACTTAACACCATTATTATTATTATTATATATTATATTTATACACATATTGAATTTAATTATATATTTTTTCGCCGTATTCGATACTTATTATTATTATTATGCAGTTTTATGTGCGTAGGTTATTTTTAATAATATTTATAGTGGTTATTTAAATGAAGAAAAAAACCGAATAAATCATAAACTATATGATATAATAATAGTTAATAATTTTTAAACGAAAATATTTTATCAGTGTTTAAAGCAATTAATAATGTTTAAACGTAGCGATTTTATTATATAATTATAATAATAATATAATAGTATTATAAACTGTAACTAGGTAAAAAAAAAATTATACAGTTGATTCATTTTGGTGCTATGGTAATAATAATAATCGTTATAAATATTATATTTTTTGCTGTTAAAAAAATGATGTTTATCGCACGATTTGGCGGCATTTCATATAAATATTATATACTAAATTATTATTATTATTATCATTATTGTTTAGTCGTATTAGAAAATAGAAATTAAATATAATATCATAAGCTTATATTGATTTACTCTTGTTTAAGTATTACCTATTTAAAAAAATTATACACTAAATTATTATATTATTTCAAATTCACGTTTTAACGAAAAATATATTATCGTATGTTATTGTATTGTTGACTCACAAATTATGATTGTGTTTTATTTTGTTTTTTTTTAAATTTTCATCTACAAAACCATATAAATTTCGAGTTTTTTGAAATGAATCTTTTTTTGAAATTAATTTTTTAGGTTTCAAATAAAATAATATAAGTAAAATAATTTTAACAAATCGTGTAAAAATAGTTCAATGAAAAAAGTCAAATTGAAAAAAATGTTTTTTATAACGGTAGATACTAAAAAACCTAAAATATTTTAAAAATGTGGAATAAGGATAAACAAATAATATAAATACATGTTGAACTATCACATTCTAAACTACAATAAAAAATTGCCAACGCTGTTTAAAAGTAGTAATAAACTAAAATTCTTATTTATTGATTATTTTACATGCAAAAATGTACTTCACCTTTTATCATATACATAATATATGGTTTATTTTTCTTGACAAATATTTAATAAACTAGCAATTTATTTATTTTTTATCGATTCTCAAATCATAAATTTATTAACACCACTTAAACTTCAAAATAATCAAAAGTGAATAGTTTTAAAATATACTTTCTCAGTAATCGCATCAAATAAAAAATATATATTTAAAAAAAAAACCAACTAAATTAAAATAAATAATTATCAAACAGTATAATATATGTAATTATATTGTAAATGTTAATTAAAATTCGAACCTTGGGTTTTTTTATTCGATTTCTTAGTTCGGTAAAAGTTATATATTTAAATTATTAACATCATCTCTACAAATATTCAACAAAACTAATCCTTCAAATCAAAAGTACATAAATTCGAATGTTATGTTATTTTTTGATGAAAACTTTGTTATAGAAAATCATTGTTATAATAATTTGTCTTCAAACTATTTTTCGAAGCAGTTTCAAAACCTTTTTATTACCGACGTGGCGTATGGTATAAAAAAAACACTTATTGGCAAACGTGAAGTTAGAAAAAAATATTTAAATTAAATTAGAAAAGAGCAGATTTTTCCGTCTTAGATTTTAAACGTAGCACAAAATATCTGCATCAGTATTTTGTCTCGAATTTCTTAGCTGCTTAGACTTGCTTGGAGTTCAATACCTATAGACAGGTATAGTTGTATATATTGTCAAATTAAAAACCTATTCCTTAGTAAAGGTGAAAACTTTATAGCTTCTTTGTCAGCGTAGTTTAGGGTCAGAAAAATGGACTGAAAGTAGATCTGGTATGGTTCTTTTATTTTTTGTACGGGTTTTTCAAAAATCTGTAATCTTTTTATAACAGTTAACTACAAGTAAAACAAAAAAAAGGGGGGGGGGAATTGAATAGGCAAGAATCAAAACTCACAAAATCCAAAATTCACATTTTTGAAAAATTCAAAAAACTGGAATAGGGTTTTCCCAAATAACAAAAAATATCTATGGTACATTTTCAAGTAATTAGGACCGAACAACTAAAATAATATGCCGTCAAAGCATACAAGTTTAGTCTATTAACATTTTTTTTTGCGGTTGAACATAATTTAAATTTAACATGTGAATTTTGGCACCACCAATAGGTAAGAAATCAGATAAAACAAAAAAATTGTTGGAACGTTCCCAAAATCAAACAATGATGGTGTGTGTAGTGTGTGGCTATTTTTCATCTCAAAAACAAAAAATTTGAAAACAACACTTAGACCATGTTAAATTTCCAGGTGGTTTTTTTAAAGACAGATATTAATCGTATCTACTCTTTTACTAAAACTAAATTTTTTTTTATGATGTTATATAATTCTTACATAATATAATATTTACAATGATTAATGTATATAAGAATAATTGTATAACATCGTAAAGAAAAAATTGTCATTTAGTAATAAATTAATATTATATTATAATGCATTTTCCAACCCATTAGTTTCATTCTAAATGTTTAGTAACGTATTCAAAATTGTCTAGAAATTGCTCAAAATTTAAATTTGAAAAAATGTACAATAACCGTGTAGATAGGGTTTTTTATTGGGGAAACCAAAACTAATCAAATAACACTATTATAAACAAATTTGTTGTCAATTAAGTGATTCATATTTGATATGAACAGAAATAATAATATATGTTTACCGTGTTCACTTGGAAGCGTTTATCAGTGTTAACTTTAGTTAATTTCCAAAACTTGATGTAGTCTTAATGTAGACAAATTGTCTGGCGCACGTTCTTTGCCAAAACCGTCTACAGCTGTTCCTTGTGGTAACATATTATTTTCATCGGAGACGCGCTGTATAGGTTTGTTTGTTCGGCTGGTACTTGCACTTGACCTTTTACAGTCTGTTGGAATCATGAAGATCAAGGCCGGGTAACCACCATTGGGACGTCGCCAGACCGGTTAGCTAGCTCTTGGCCATTTTAGTTCAGGCTCGCTTCACAAACACTTTAATAAATAATCGCAATCCATTTAGGTCTGCAGTCCACATCAGCTGTTGTATACAACAAGTGCACTGAAACAACACAGTCCAAGACCGTAGACTTTCAACCCTGCTGAGTTGTAAAAATCTCTCGACCATTTTGTTTCTCACTCCTTTAAACAGTTTGTCACTTGAAAAGTGGACTGTTGGCACAACAATATGATTTAGCATTTTTTTTTAAATGTAGTTCAAAATATACAAATTTTGTCCAGAGATACAAGACATTTTATTCGCTCAATGTACGAGTAGTAGATAATATTTCGTTGACTTGTTTACACCCTAAAGCGCTGACGCGCAAATAAAAACAAATAGTAGTCTCCCTGAAATAAATTCAAAAAATTACCATTTCATTAATAGTTATATTGAGTGATATTAGTGTATTACAATGTTGTAACAACTACAGTAGTAGCTAGTAAGGGCCCGCGGCACCCTTTGGCAAAATGGCCAGCTCGGAGGTGCTTCGAGTGCCAGAAGCTCGGGCGTTCTTGAAGCACCTCCACAATAATATGTTCTATTTATTATAAATGCATTAAGTATGCACAAAGCCTTCAAATTAGACTTAAAATATTTTCTAGCAAACCTAAAAAACAAAAATTGTATTTCCAAATCACTGTGTTGGAAATGCAATTAGGTTTTCATACGTAAATAAATTGTCGTTTAGATTTTATTAGTTACATTGGAATAGAAACGCAAACATTTCAAAATTATTTGACTTTTGGAAGTCAACAGGAAATTATTCAAAACACTATGACATTAAAAATACTAAACGAAATAGTTTTATTTTTGTGGTTTTTTTAATTAGTTTTATTAATTTACTAGAATAAGTGGGAAATTGTTTAGGGGTAATCCAACACCGTCACTGTTCTGTATTTATCATTAAATAATTACTTTCGCGGTTAAAACATAATTTTTCTAAGGTACTCTTATGGTGCTAAATGTAACCGTTTCTGTGAAACTTTAATTTTGAGTTTGTAAGTTTTTTGGAAACGGTGTTTATGAATGGAATTTTTATACAACGTTACCAGTTCATAACTTGTACAGCTTTCCTCAGTAGCAGCTTTACATTGACAGCTGATGTTAATGTACAGAGATAAGACAACTCTTGATCCATCAAAAGGCGTTTCATCAAATAACAAATGATATTCACTCAAATAGAGTCGGTGTGTGTGTGCGTTTATATAAAAATGATTAAAAACAAGCAAAATCCTGTTTGGTTTTTAATAGTGTACAATATTTAATTATATGGACTGTTGCACTACGGGTGGCGATTTTGGAAGGTCGTAGACCTCAGGATCGATGACTTATATCCGAACCGTGCAATCTTTAATGCAATCGTTCTGATTATTTTTTTTTTTTTTATCCTTTTTGTACTTTTCAATGCACACGTTCTCTATACGTTTGTATTTGATGACGATGATAATAATAATAATAATAACAATAATACCAAGACCAAGACGGTGGTCGTGGCATTGATGTTGTGTGGATCACAAGAAATGCGCGTACTGGTCCGACCTAATCGATTCGATCGAAACCGAAAATGAATGGATAGATCTATTTATTATTGTTATTATTTTTCAATTTAGAAATGAAACCGAGTACGTTTGTACACCGTACGGTACACGCCCGAATGTGTTTTCGGTTAGTGAGTTTGTCAAAAATGGCTTATTTTCAACTTGCTGTACTTGTCAACGTTACAATAATATTGTAACTATTTTTTTTATCTAGGACTAGGAATGAATTTGTATTTTTTATACGAGAAACGTCGGACGGGGATTGGATTGTTGTTTATTTTTTAATTAAAAAAAATATATAAACGAAAAGAACTTTTTACAGTTAACGCAACATAAGTAGGTGGTAGGTGCACAAAACTTATAAGAATAATAAAATATCATAACTGCGACGGACCCTTCGAGCAATGTACAAGTACTGTTATTCCCATTCGATTGCAATAATTATAATAATAGTGTAAAAAAACTAATTAAAATTTTTACAATAGGTTAGGTAATATTTTTTAGTTAACCTTGGTATTTCTTTTTACCAATCCCATCGGCAAATTTAGGTAAAAAAAAAAAATATATATATATACACTTATATATGATTAAATTTATTTAATTCGAATTGCAATAAACACGTTTGACGAACTTAATGAAAAAAATATTTCAAACGTGCACAATATCATCGTTCTTCAACGCTTTAATAGATATTATAATTATTATTATAAATGGAAAAAATAACACAAGTTACAACGGGCAACGTTAAATTTAAACCGACACCAGTTTTTTGTATGAACTTAAAGATAATTAATTATACTTGTAAATCGCCGCCCGAAAATCCTTAAGTAGAATTTGACGCGCTTTTATGTTAATATTATGTACCTATGTTCACTAATAATATTAGCGTTTTTTTGGAATATTTTTCCAGAAATTAATTCTAATGTGTTGGAAACGGGTTTTTCCTTTGTTTCGCTTTAGATACAAACCGTCGATGGTGGAAAATGTCCAAAAGAAAAATATCTTATTATCAGACCAACACAACGGTCCGCCTTAATAATTTATGGTAATCCGATTTGGCTTTCTTCGCCATGTATTGGCAACTCGACAAAAAATAATTTTTATATCTGACTCTTAAATAAATTTAGTGTATAAATTTATTTATTCGTATGGTACAAATATAGTGTATAAATAATATACCATAATAGATTGTACCTAATTAATCAAAAAAAGCTTTGAGATTTTTTAAAAAATTTTTTTTTTTGCAATACATCATTATTGCCAACACCATTTTGTAATAAACTGCCTTTTACATAATACCGTGTCCGCATATAACCGCAACCCAACTAAATGGTTCGTTCTGTTTGGTTTTTAGCCCTTAAACAACACCTGAAAATCTTCCCCTTGTTATTTTTAGGGGATGTTAAAAGTTACTTTAGCTAGCTGACAGTCCTCGGTCTACATATCGGGGTGGAATTCAGTTGTTAGTCCTCGGGGGTTGCGAATGGGGCAGGTGTACATTTTATATATTTTATACCTTATCTGAAAACGAGTATAATTCATTAACCTTTAACTGTGTTTCTCATCTATTAAATAAAAAAATAAAATAATGAAAATTTCCAAGGTAAAAATGTTTAAAAACTAGAATTGTGCAGCTAAGAACTGTGCAAAAATGATAATTCAATAATTATTTTACAATTTCAGGTGGCCAATAATAAAGATACAAAAGTATGTTTTTATAATAAATTAGGTTTACAACTTGGATAATTTTGAGCGTTTCTTGTTTATGGACATTTAAGCTGGACATATTATTCATTGGCAGTTCATATTCAGGTAGAATTTAATTGAGTATTTGTCCAAAAAAATAACCGATACAATTTTACTATTTGCTTTGCATAATACAAGTTACTGTTCCAAAAATTGTTTCATATTCTGGACTTTTATTTAAAAATTAACCGCCGCAGTTTATGGTTTTGAGATCTGTAAATTAGACTAAAGATCAAGCGGATCAAGTGTGTACATAGTGTACAGGTATATAGTACCTAAACTATAGTGCCTACTCGGTAGTACTTTTGTTTTAAGTTTAAGACTTGTGTTGACATTTTTATTTTAACAGATTCTTGAATACTGTTTTTATTTTACCACAAACTTAAGATTTCAGTGTAAATATTTTTGTAAAGTTATATTGTGCCCGAAGCAGGTTCAACGTCGAAGGTCGACGCTGAAGATGAGCAGCTGATATTATTATGTAGCGTTCTTCGAATTATTGCGGTTGTATATATTATTAAGGTAAAAAAATAAATGAGAAAAATTAGCGGCCGTTTGCCAGTGAGGGAAAATGTTGTCATAAATACAACGCCGGAGACATCTCGGTTCATTGTAGGTATACTTACATAACATATGTTATTAATATCTGTTCATTTAGTATGCGTTCTGCGATTTTTTTTTTTTTTTGTATTATTAATATTATATACTTAACCGACCAAAGTGTAAGTGGTTATAATATGCGCACGACCGGTTTTGATAGTAATATTATATGGACAGCAGACGGATCGAGTATCTCTGTTGGGACAAAGCAAATAGATAGCCGTTGCCTCCCCCCCTTAGAGGGGGGACCACGGGGGTTATCGGCGGTGTATTTTGCTTTTCAATAGCCGTGTAATAATATAATATGTTATGTAGCAGCTGCTATTCCTTCTCTCTCTCTCCTCTTCGGGTTGCTCTTCTTCGTTGCAGACCGTCTATCTATTTAAGCCAAGACCGAGAACAGTCCTTGCACAATTTGACTCCGGTGGCTTGAAAGAGACGTCAGTACTTTCAACACTTGCACTTTACCACCACCACCACCACCTCATCTTCTACCACAATGAAGGTAAGTCTGCAATTAGATTATGTAGTTTAAAAAAAAAAAAAAAATGATAGTATTAATTTATATTTTAAACCTAACCTGCTGAAAGCCGGGATGCTGTAGGGATGGCTTTTTTAGGGACGACTTAAGACCCTAATTTCCCACCCCTCAACAAATCAGTAGTCTGTAAAAACTACACTTTTTTAAGGTTTAACTTTGACATATAAAATTTAAACGTATTTATATGTAATGCTGCCGTTGTATACCTAACGTTAGTATTTGTTTTGTGTGTGTAATTTTTGTATGTAAAATTAATCTTTGTATTCTTCACATTCTCAATCTTAGTTAGACATTTTAAGACCCAATTGACTTGTCGGTTAACCCTTTCCGACTCAAGTCAAACTAAAATAATGTAACGGTTTAATATGTGCTAAAATTGTAAGTGATTCTTATATCAATTCAAGTGTTGTAAGTGCCTACATAAAATATACACCCAAAACAGATTTAAAGTAAAAAAAAAATATTTTTTATACACAGCAGCAGTTATTGTTATAATTTTTGATATTATTATTATTGATATAATCATAAATATTATATTATGTTTGGCTAAACGATTTTTAAGATCAATACGATCGTTTTAAAGTCGTTTATTGAAGTTGAAAGTTATCAATTGAATTTTGAAAATTCAATTGGTAGTTTTATTTTGATATTATACAGGCAGGTGTATAGTAAAAGTAAAAATTGGTTTTTTTTTGTTGTTGTTTTTATTCTCTCCGGTTGGGTCAATGCTCGTCGTCACGTTCAAGGTTTAACAACACGAATCCACCGTATAGATTCGTTACAGTTAAAAATACCAATAATAGGTGAAAAAAATATATGAATAATATAAAAAATATTATATATTTGACAAAGAGACATGTATTATGTCCCACGATTAATTTTTGTGAAAAAAATAAATAATATACAATAGTTTTTTTTTTTACTAAAATGAATCATAAGACAAGTATTTTTATTCAATGAAAAAAAAAATATAGAAGTTCAATAAACTATTTTTCTTAATACCATTCCTAGTGAAAATCCAGTTTTTTGTGATCCATTTCAAGTTAGCATCATTGATGCGCATAATTTAACGTAATAGCAATTGTAAACAACAACAGAAAAACTACAATATTATTTTTACAACACTTTTTTATAACTTAAACATTTTGTAAATCCAAAAAAACAGTTTTATTGTTTTCTAAATGCTGTTAGTCTCTAAGCAATTTTATGTACCGCATACAAATGATTGTGTGATTGGTATTGATGCTTTTGATTCAGTTACAAAATACATTCATCGGGTAGCAAGGTATTTTTCATACTTTGATTTTTTGTTTAAAAAAGATGTGTTTTCTCTGGAATTTGTTCACATAATAAAGTAAACATTGATATTAATACACAGTATTAGTAAATGTGACTTATAAATTAATTATGATTAATGAAGTAGCTAATTTAATTTTTATATGTAACGTATCAACTTGTTAAATTGATACATGTATTTTTATTTATTGTTACTGGATACTTTTAAATGTATCAACATAATCATTTGTTGGTATAAGATACTCGATACATTTTGCCCATACATGTATGTGAGATAAATAAACGGTTATTTTTGGACTGTAAATGCACTTTCTTTTTACTGCAAATTTTTGTCTCAAGTAAAATAATGGCATTTCTTTTTGTTTAGGTTTTCTGTGCAACTCTATTGTTGGTGGCTTCGGCCGTCGCTGGACCACACCATGAGAAATCTCCCAGCGTGGGCCAAAACGTCGTGCCATCCGCATCTCCCTCGCCGGTGCCATATCCAGGCCAAGTACCGGCTTACCCATCGCCTTACCAGTTCGGCGCCGACTTCGGCAGTCCGTTCGCCAGATCCGGATTCGCCGCCAAGGCCGCTCCCGCTCAGGCTTCTTACGGTAAGATACGCTAGAGCCGTGCAGCACTTTGGCTGACCGTAATATCATTGTATCGTCGGCTTGACCAATGTATAATAATCGTGTTTCAGGAGCTTACCAACCGTACCAACAGCTTCCGTACTATCCGTCTTCGGCTTATTCCGGCTACCCGACACCGTATGCCGCACAGTCCGCCTACCCCGGCGCCTACTACAACGGATATTCCGGTGCGGGCGCGTACCCGTATTCCGGTTACCCGTACAACTCGTACTCGTCCAGCGCTTACCCGTCGGGCTACCCGGCGTTCAGAAGCCAATTCGCTGATCCCGCCGTCGGCCAATACAGCCAGTACTCGTCCGCCGCCGCCACCCCTTACTCGGCCCTCCCCTACTCCGCCTCACCATACTACTCGGCCGGGCCAGCGTCTCACCAACAGCCGTCGCTCTACAACCAAGCCCAGTTCCAGCCACAACAGTACCCTTACTCGCCAAACTCCGCCGCCGCCGCCGCCGCCTCACCGTTAGTCGCCAACGATTCCCCGTCCAAGGTCACCGCCGAAAACAAATAACTCTCACGACCATGATCTAAGTTGTATTTATACCTTAAGTATTTTATTTTGTAACAATTGAGCGTCAAGACTATTTTCTTATTTTAATAAAACCAATACGCATTTTACCAACACCAGTGTTTCACTTATTTGATCGGAAGCGACATTTATGTATTACTATGATACATACAACCGGCGTGTACAGCGGTAGGCAAATGACTCAAACTAGTCTGCTTAAGAGAGTATTGCTAATTATAAATAAGCATACTATACATAGTATTAATCTACAAATTAATTTTTAATTGAATTATACAAGAAACATTTTTTTTTGTAAAGAAAATTTTACATCACAAATAACAAAAATGTAATTCTTAAAAGAACAGTTGTAACAAAAAGGCTTAGACATTATTTCCTCAATAATATTAATGAAATTTATAATATTTTGTGCAATAATAGTACAATCCTTTTTAAGACCATCAAACAATTATTATGATATGTACTTGCAATATTTTCTATCATACATTAACAAGACATTAACGGTATTTTATGGTTTAAAATATTTTTCGGTAAACGGGTGTTTCCAAATAAAATATTAAATCAAATAGAGTAGCGTAGAAAAATTATGTGTTTTAAGGGGTCGAGTATAGGCAATTTTTGTCTAAATCTTTGAAAAAAAAACAATATTTACTAATTCACTAACGCTTAATAATTTGATTTACATCTGCACTTAAAAGTGCGCCACATTGTCTTTTTTTACATGTGACCCTATGTCTCAAGAAATGGTCATTTCTCAGTATCTGACAATGAGTGTTTTTTTAAAGTTAAATACATAATCTAAACTTTTACATGAGTACTTTTTTTTACAGAATAAAATTGTTAACAAAATTGATAAATAAAAACTATTCAAAAAATGTAAAATTAAATGTCATATTACACATCTTAAAAATTAGACAACATGTTTGTCATACATTTTGTATAGATGGAGTTGGACACAATATTATAGATTATAATACCTCAAAAGATACGTTTACTCAACTACCTAAGTTATACCACATCGTCCTAAATAGTTATAAATTATTATAATAAAAGGATAGCAAGCAAAAAAATAAGAAAAGAACATTATGTTTCCCATCAAAATCGAAAAGGACGTCCTATAACATTGCTTAGTTATTAATTCCAACATGGATAATATTGTCAAACCAATTTCTTCTCGGATTTACATAATTTGATAATTTGAAATGTCTCTTTTTTATGAACGTTTAATATAAATTATTTTTAATTAAAACATTTTTTTTTTTTAATTCTAAGCTTTAATGTTCAAGAAAAATGTATTATAAAATAAAATAAAATGTTCAAGATAGGCAGAAAGAAATAGATAAGCAAAAAAGGCTAGTAAAGACTAAACTATAGTAAACAAAACTACTAAAATAAGTAAAGCTATACTGATTTATTTGTTAAAGCTTTTTAAATGAATACTCCATTCCAATTTGGAAGTATTTCCACTATTTTATAAAGTGCATAATTTTAAGTTGGGAAGTGTATGTATTTTGGCTTCGATGAGGAGCTGAGAGTCTATTGGTTTTACAATGGTGTGGGTTTTTTTTGTATCTATGTACATAGTAACTGTTAATACAGGACCAATTCCTGTCGAGACATAATATATATATTATAAATGTATGACATGTGATTTTGGAGTATTCGCATTTTGTGCACAATAGTATCTAAAATACTATGTAAATAGTAAAACTGCGCGATGCCTATTAATTATACATATATATATATTACAAAAGACCACTAAATTTAATCGAACCGCTCTAAAGCCGTACAATAATAATATAATAACATTTATTGCGACGTTATTCAATTTAACACAATAATAATAGTATGTCAATTTTGAACGCATTCGAATTGCCAGAGGTGCCTTGTGTGTGACTGCTTGTACTTGCACGGTCCTATCCCGGTTTATTCCTGTCGGTGTTAGCATGATCTTGACCGGAGATCACGTGTCAGCGTTTGGCGCAAATCTAAGGGGCGGTGACGGGATGCCGGGAGAGGTATAAAGCTCGAACTTACACCGTACCGGCTTAGTTTCGCTATGCTATTCGATTATATAAACTAAAAGCATACCCACACTGAATCAGAGCGACTTTGATCAATCACCCAAGATGACGATCGACGAGAACGACGACCTACCGTCGTACTTGGAACCGTACTCGTGTCGGGCCGAAATTGAGTTCCATGGGCTAAGGGCGGAAACAAAAGCTAAGCTACCGGGACAACAGCAACGGCGACGACGACGACGACATAGGTGTAACCCGGCCAAAGAAAAAGATCTTAGAATCGGTAAGAGCAACAATTGGTTGGATAGTAAAAATCAGTAAAAATAATGCACACTTTTTCCCCCCAAAAAAATATAATTAGTCAAATAACATACACGTAGGAATATTTTTTTATATGTGTTTATACGGCATTTGGGAAAACAAGTAAAATGTGGGTGCTCCAATTAACGTTGGGTTTTCTATTTGGGACTTAACTTAGTGTACCTCGTCGGATTAGTATTATTTATTTTAAACACTTATCAGAATAGCCTTTTTTTTTGGTTTCAAGATGAGGCTGTCTCTACTATGTTAGTTTTTTAACCATATTATGTCGTTGAAATTGTATTCGATTATTGGATATCATATTTTAAATTATAATAAGTATGTTCGTAATTCACCAAAACAGTTTGTTTTTGGAATTGTATTTTAATTATTATACATGTTCAAAGGGGTTGACAATAACAATGTACATTTGGCCGATCATGACGTCGACATTACATTATGTGGACTGGTTAATTAAAACGAGAAAGTAATTTATTAACTTGTTTTTAGTACCTACTTACTTTTTGTAGTTGTTAACGTTCAACAGCGTAATCAAGATGCTAAGATAAATGGTCATACATCGACCTTGCTTTTTTTCTTGTCAAGACTTTTAACGTGAGCAACTTAATAACAAATATTTTTTTAAGAAAATTTAAAAAAAACAGTATTTTTGTATTCTGCCCTTCTTAAAAAAATATTCTTTTTATAAGCAATTTAAAATGTGTTTTTTTATTAGTATTTCAAGACAAAATATATCTTATATGCATATGAAATTTAGAACCTCGCCAAAACTATTACTTTGCCAAACAGAGAAATTATGGAACACAGGTATGATGAAAATCTCATGATAGTTAATATATTCCCAGAAGACAATTTATATGAGAGACACATATTTTACTTTACCCACACTTGCATACATTTGCATACTTAAATGTTATAACCGCAGTGTAATATTTTTAATTTAAATTGCCACATGACGTTTATGCCAAGATAAAAGATTAGTTTTCTTAAAATATGTATATGCAAATTGGAAATAATATATTCAATATAATTTTGTGATTTGTGAAACAGAAATTGCATCGTTTCATAAAATATTGACTTGCACGAATACCTCTGCGATTATCATTTTGTCTGTGTTTTTTCCATTAAACCTGTCGCCCTAATCCGTATGATGCATAGATGCATTTTTTGTACTTATTTGAGTTTTTATTTTTAATCTTTAAGTCCACAAAAATAAGAACCGCAACCAAGTGTTTTAGAAAGGGCAACAGAGACGCAAAGAGATTGTGACCATTTCTGGAGCTTTTTTATTCGGATACAAAAAATCACACAAAAAATGTGTTCTAATGGCATTTGTTCACTTATTTATTTAAAAAAATAAAGATTCATTGTTTGGAAATATAATTAATTAAAACTTTTAATTACTGTAAAACTCAAATCTCAATTAAGAAAGCGTTTGGAGTAAAACCTACCTTGGCTGAGTTAGACTTGAAAATATTTAGCCAAAACCTGATTTTCCAATTTCTACAATGAGTATTCCTGGTTTTAACAAAAAAAATATTGCACTAAAAATATAATTTATTTTTAATGTGTCCCGATTGTAAAAAACTCAAAACGTATATTTCACTAAAAATACCTACAAAAAAAAACCAAAATAACAATTACAAAATGTATAAAATATATAGTTAAGTTTGTTAAGTATATAAGTTTATAGCTAAATAAAGTCAATATTAATTTAATATTTGCGTTTGTGGTAATTTATTGTAATTCTCATATTTATTTTAAATTGTTACTAATTACTAAATATTTAAATATGTTTATACATTTAACAGGGTAATTTTTTTTAAAACTTCAGACATTAAATTCGAACAAAGTCTATAAAAAACTTTCACCCTTATTCTAGAAAAACTAAAAAAAAATGTGAGTTATAGTTTATACTGAAAGCGACCTTATCCAAAAACTTTCTAAACGGTTTTAGGAATTTTTTGCCGGTAAAACTCAAGTAAAAATTTTATATTTTTTGTTAGATATTGTAAAATCTTTCTTATAAGATTTTCTTTTGGTAATAAGCAAATTTAAACTACTAGATTATTACATCGAAGCTTATTATTATCAATATTTCATTCATATTTGAAATTTTTACTTGAAATATCCAGAAAATGGATTTATAAAACGAAATATCCATTACAAACATTTGATCTATTTAAAGTATAAAGTCTATTTCTAATACACTATTTTGATTATTTTTACACCCTTGCAAATGTATTCTCGAATTTGAAATTTTCTTACTAAATCGGACACAATAATAATAACTATCGAGCAATGAAAAAAAAATGTTCATTAATACAACTGCGACCATCTTGGCCATTAGCCACTTGGTTTAAAAACGAGTTTGAGGCATCTTCAAGATTAAAAAAAAAAAAAAAAACTGAAACCGAGGTTACCCTTTGTGGTCTGTACAGCTTTGTGCAAATACATTGGTGTTTTTTACACATTTTACACGAAATATACACATAATTATTTATTCTTTAAGTCTATATACATTTTATTATTATTATTTTTTTTCTTTCGATTTTACGATATTACCGACAATGAAGGTTCTCTGGCTATTTAAACAGAGTCTGGGCACCCCTTGGACGCATTACGTTCATAGCAAATGTGCAGACACTCTGAGAGCAAATTCAACACTACCAATAGCCGACTATAGTCAACATGAAGGTAAGATATTATAATTAACGGATGCCACAATCTACGACATCGATCAAATATTGGATACTTAAGCGTTTTAATAACAAACACGGTTCTAATATTTAGGTTTTGTGCGTTGTACTTATCTTGGCCGCCGTGGCTTTCGCCGAAGAACAAAAAGAGGCGCCATCGAAACGTCAAGCATTGTACTCAGGTAGAAGATTTTTTTCTCTTAGTCGTTATATATTTATAGTGATAATAATATATGGGGAAAGTACGATTTGATTTCTACCGTAGCATTATCTCAACCGTTAGTAGTATACAAATAATGCACTACCGTTGTATTAGAATACTTTTTAATAGTTCAACTGTTCGTCGATCGACTGCTACACGGTTGTTAGAGATAATTATTACCCCTGAATTATATCCTTCATTACAAAAAAAAAACCTTCATAGAAAAAGGATTTCTTTAATAAAAGAGTATTATTGTACACATATTTTTTGTAAAATGTGAGTTAGTGTGGCATAGATACTATACATATCTATATCTGTTTTTTAAGTTACGCTTTGTATTAAAAAGTAGACCTCATAATAAAAAAAAAACAAAATAGTTTGTTTAACGCTTTTACTGAGATTTGTTTGTGTGATTAAATAATAATAAACTATAAATGATTGTTTAAGTATAGTTGATTTTTGTAATTTTCTAATTACTTCGCCGAGGGAAATACATAATTATACACTTAAAATTTTAAACGTAATAACATTAATATTTAACGGTTTGAAACTAACTAATACTAAAGTTTTTAATATTTTAAAAATAATATCTGAAACATTTATTGTGTTTTAATGTTTTATTTTCTATTAAAAACATAATATTATGTAGAAATATTTTAGCAGTAAGCCTAAGTAGCACACAATTTTCTTTTGAATTACAAATGTATCATTTAATATTGCTGACTCAAGCGTGAAAATGGTATTCATAACTCAATTTTAGGGGTAATATTCATATTTATAAACCTATATTTTTTTTATTTAAAAAAATATGCTACAGCTTTAGACATAGTTATAGGAATCATGTTTTTAAGCAATATGATACAAACTGAAAACTATTACACGTCCGTTTAGCGTTTATTTGCTTCCTGATAAATTTTGGTATTTCACAATAAAAAATGATTTATAGTATGAAAAATTGATTATTACGCTGTATTCATAAATTCCATGTAGAATTACATATTATAAAGTCAAGCTACGCATCAAAAAAATTAATCCAAATTGTCAGTAACGCTTACAATATTTTTGTGTGACTATTTTTTTTTTTACAGTTAGTAATAAAAATTCGTGTTTTTGAGTTTTTCAAACCGAATTAAAATATTTTCAAATTTTACTACCTATATTGTGCTTACACGGAGACATCGCATTTTTTTTTTGTTACAATATTTTCCCACTTACTAACTTTTATTATATTATGAAAACACAAATAAAAACCATTCACACTCGATTTACTCGACACACTATTCATGGACAGTCTGTCAAAGTTCGGATTATCTGTTCATATCATAATATACATGTATGTATATATAGGTATGTACATATATTTATATACATATATGTTTGCTGTAATAATACATAATCTATTCAGTAACCCGACGTATGTTATTATTATTCGGTAGAGTCAAGAATGTAATCAATTTAACCGATTACTATAATGCAGAGCCGTAAAATTACTTTAGACATAACTGTAAATTGATCAATGGAAAATTAGATTACAACTACTGCGGGGAACAGTTTTCCTTCTTTCGTTCTTTATCCGGTTTCAGGCCTGTCAGGAAATCAAGAATATATATATATATATATATAAATATATATAACTATTTTTTATAATTTTATAATTGACGCTTATCCGACAATGAGAATCATTATACTATATACATGTATGACGTATGTATCAATATATTAATCTATTATTATATTATATACATACATGTATGTGTGTGTGTGTGTTTGCCAAGTATATAATAATAATAATAATAATAATAATAGCGTAAGTTCGCGTTTATTCCGAATGTCTTCGATAGTGTCTTTGTAGAAATCGCCGCAGTAGGTATTTTATGGAACACCTATGAAGATACACAATCGACATAGCCAGGAGGGTATCGGTATGTTATGGTTTAATTTTGAAATTCGATTATTTTTCGCACAAGTCCCCCCGACGACAATGACATTACTAGACTTTGTCGCTGATTATCATTTTCCTTTTCATTTGATTTCAACATAATAATATAATAATAGTAAAAATAATTGCACCGCTGGTGCCCAAGAGCATAATAATATCAAAAACGTCCGTACTTCGTATATTATATATGTATAATATGTAGTTAAGTTAATATTTCCCACGTGGCAATAGTATATTTAAAAAATAACAACATTTTATTGGAAAATGTATGTTATAGTAAATGTTACAATATTTTTTTTATGTAGTAAAAATATTTGTACATACTATTTTGGCAGAAAATCGAATAATAGTTATTATTTATTAATATTGTATTATTATAACACAATATTGTTTCAATAATATTTCCTCGTTGACGTAAACGTAATAATCAATAAATAGTTCATTATAGACGATTTATTTTCAAAATATGAAACAAATGTTTATACACAAATTGTTTTTCATCAAACCTCGACAAAACACACTTATATTCTGCTTGTTTACTGTACAGGCTCTTAAAAAGTGCTATAATTTTCCATTTTTTTTATAATTAGAAATAATTTAAAGTCTTTTATTTTTTTTAGTAATATTTTTATAGTTTTAGAGGAAAAGTGTTTCCATCATTAGAATTAGCCTTTGAGTAAATGGGCAAGCCAGTTAAAAGCAAGTTTAGGCTATTTTACAGGAGACATAACAAAAATCTTTGTTAAGCAGTAAGGCGGTCACTTTAATAAGCTAATGGTTTTTATATATGTTTCAGGAAATGGACACGCTTTCTTACCGTCTGGACAATACGGATCTTACCCTTCGGCTTACTCCTCGTACGGTGCCTACTCAGGAGCACACTCTTCGTACTCTGCCGCCTACCCTGCAGCATACTCGTCGCACTCCGGCGCATACCCAGTAGCATACTCGTCGCACTCCGGCGCTTACCCAGCGGCTCACTCGTCGCACTCCGGCGCTTACCCAGCAGCTTACTCTTCGCATTTCACCGCTTACCCAGCGGCTCACTCGTTACACTCCGGTGCCTATCCAGTGGCGTACTCGTCGCACTCCGGTGCCTACCCAGCGGCGTACTCTTCGTACTCCGGTGCCTACCCAGCAGCCCACTCGTTATACTCCGGGGCCTATCCAGTGGCGTACTCGTCGCACTCCGGTGCCTACCCAGCGGCGTACTCTTCGCACTCCGGTGCCTACCCAGCGGCGTACTCTTCGCATTCCGGTGCCTACCCAGCGTCTTACAGTGGAGTTTACTAATCACCAGAATTCCTTGGTTCACAGAATGTTGTCTACAAGAAATAATTTTTAAGAAACACTCGGGTTTAATAATAAATACACGTATAAATTTATATTTCATTATAGATTAATGTATGTATACTATAAGCTAAGATAAATCAAATTAACCGTTTCAATTTTGAATAAATACCTACCATTACTTTTCTATAATACTAGTTCGACTTATTGTAAGTTATTCAAACATCCCGTTATTAACAGTATGGAGTATCCTACTCTTAAAAATACTGAATTTTAATAATATTTCATTGACGACATATACCATTTTTGTTAAATTTGTGTATTTTTTTTTTAAGTCGAACAATACGTTGTTTATAAAAAGGATATTTGTGCTCAACGTTAAGTACAATCTTATAGTTCCAAGATTGTGAAAATTGCTCACTCACTTGCGCCCGTCCTTATAGGGCTTACAAATGAGCAGGGCTTTGAAGGTAGTATATAAATAAAATGAAAATAATCAGTAGGAACATATATAAAGCGTTATTGAATTATTTAATAAACACTACCTATAAACCTATAAGTTCGTGTACCCTACTAAGGCACACAAAGTAGTAGTCAAGATGTTTTATAAATTATAATTTACCCCACACAGAAATAATATATTAAAATAATATTTTATTGAAAAATTTTAATAATTTAGACCAAAATATATATATACATATATACATTTTAAAGTGTTTTAGTGGAAAATATTATGTATTTGGTATCAGCTTCGACCAAACAAAACTACACATTTGTTTGGTGTTTTCAAAATAATTGATGTGTGATTATTAATTTTGAATTTATTGTGGTATTAATATTTGATTTCCTGTCACAATATAACGTAAAAACATTGAGATTTTTAAAAATGTATAGGACATTTATACTTCTTAGATGCTATGTAAGTGTCTAAGCATTATGTTTATTTTGATATTGACTGTGTTTTATGGATGAAACCATTTTGTTATAAACACGCCTTTTCCAAAATATCTTAATCCAGCGGAGACACATTCTACTCTTTAAGGGGTTTAGTATAGGCAACTTTTTATAAAATAAAAAAAAAATGAAGAAATATGGAATGAATTTAAAGCTAAAACTTAAAATTGCATGTTTTTTTAAAAATCGTTTAACGCAAAACAAATTATTTAATTTATGTAGCTTCTCGAAAGATTCTTAATCCGACTTTATCGAGATACCCTTGAGAAACTTTTAAATGTATATTTTATTTTAATGACTGTAAATATGTATTAATGTCTGTAAGACGATATAGAATCCAGGGAAAGCGTATCAATTATAGTTATAACAATATATACACTTGTTTGTCATCCCAACCACCGTGTGAGGTCGTTCGTTTCTTATATTGACCACCAGCAATAGGATACCGATAGCTATACTTTCAAGTTTCAACTATGTACTAACTCAACTATATCTGGGACAAATGGTTAATTTTAATTTCCTATTTTTTTTCTGTCTTAGAGCGATTATTGTAGAACACAACTGTGAACCCTATGGTTTAGATTCAAGTTAAATACCGAGCCAACTCTTTTGGTAATGTGTCTTTCACATTAAAAAATCTACTACCTAAATTTACCTACATACATCATTGCCGTGTGGGATATTTAGCTTATTAACATCAATGTAAATGATGGGTGTCGTTATTAATGCGATAGACATGTAATAGAGCATTAGCAAAATATTATCGCCTAACGATAAAAAAAAAAAATTGCAAACGATACTTTACTGTTAGTTTTTGTGCACTTATATTATTATTTTTAACATGCAAGTGTCAATGGCTGCACGGAGTTACTTGATTAGTTATTCAAATATTATACTGGTTTATGTTTATCTATAAAAAAAACATACACATATTTTAACTATAATAAATTAGCCATAAAATTCCCGTTATAGCGTACCGTATACCCAGTGGGCAATATGTGAAATAATAATAATTTAATAATACATAATATTATAGCCGTGTTGTGTGCGCCGGTTTAAAAGTATGAGCAAAAAATCCAAACAACTATTATGCATAACATATTAGCCGTTTAAAACTATAGTTTGATAAAAACAATATGTTTTTAAAAAATATTTTACGCCCTACAACGGGATGGATATATTTAAACTTGAAATACTTACGTTATAACTTATATGCGCTTTAGTAATGGCAATATACCGCTATTTTGCTGTTACTAAAGCGCACAATATTAACGTTAACAAATGTAATAAAAGTGATTAATCATCATCATCGTCATATTAACTAACTCTATGCAAGTCCATGACTATGTCAGACTCAATATATCCATAAGCTGTGCAGTTCAAAGGTTAAAATGAACTATTAACCCTTAACTGTTAAAAAAACAAAAATGACTTGATCCCATTCAACAATTAATGACCTCGTCTTAAATAAGACAATATTTGACCGTGTAGCAAATAGTGAACACATTTTTTCAAAGTTCAATACAATGCACAACTTGATAGTTCTACTTCAAAATAAAAAACCGATCAAATTATAATGGATTAGCTACCGAGATTTTGTATAAAATATTCCTCCCTTGTTTACAGTGAAAACGAGCTTTGAACTAGGTTGTTGGGCCTCTTTATCGTTAGAAGAATTTGCTCCTTACAAAAGCATGATTAGATGATTAAACATTGTTTCATACCCAAAAGTGTATTTTCAACCATCTAACTTACCAATATAATATTTTTAATGGTTACTACCTTCTTTAATTTATTAGAAATAAAGTTAAGGGGGCTTGACAATTTAAAAAATTGTAATAATGTTGCCTATTTAGTACTCCTTATAACACTGCAAAGAGTACAACATTTGTACGGGGTATTATAGGCTAATGCTGTTTTTCGGTTCAACATTTAACTTTTCATGTTGACATCCAATTTTGAGGCATGAAATCCTTAAAAAATTGTTTTCTGGTTTTGTTCTTAAGGCCAATACATAATACATAATATATATATATGTGTAAATATAAAGGTGTACATTTGTTTTAGTCAAAGATCCCATGTTTGTCAAGAATGAAAGTCAGTTCTTAAGAAAACAAATAAAAATTAGTACACATTTTTAGTTTGTGTTATTCTACAAAATATATTAGACAATTGATATATTTACTTCATATTTAATAATTACCTTTTTTTTGTCCTTTTATGAATTATATCAACATTAATTACTATATTATAATATTTTTTTTTGAATTGGGAATAATTCGATATTGTTTTTGTCGCTAGCAACTTAAAAAACAATCAAATAAAACTGGTTACTGACCGATGAACAGTGTTCAGCAAATTATTATTTTTTTTTTTTAATTTTCAGAAATTCGACTTTTCATTGCGCATTTTGCGAACAACCACATTTGTTTTCGTACTCGAACGCTTTTGAAAAATGTATCCTCCCCCCCCCCCCCCAATTACCGAGTACGATTTCCAGGTGGAGAGGGTAAAACAAAACGCTATGCGATCCGTGCGTTTTTCCCGGTCCTACGGTATCCTACGCCTATTAGCTTGGTATGCGTTTGTCCACACAGGTGTAATATAATATTTAGTGTTTTCCTACTTCTATATTTTCTTCTCGCGCGTGCCTATACCGTTCTTCTTAGACGGTCGTCTAATTAAGCAAGCGTCTTGCCGGGCGGGGAGGGGAGACGTTGACGTTTACCGGTCTCGGCCGACGGCAGGTACCGTTTGCGCGGAGTCGTTCCCAGTCCCGTCCGCATGTTTTATTACACTGGGCGCTCACCGTACAGCGACGAATAATTATTATTGTCCACTCGACGTCCATTGTAATCGGAGACGCGCCAAAGCGTTTTTGTACATTGTCGTATTATAATATCGATTTTCATTGTATAAACCAACTATAGTGTTTGTGTGGTTTTTTTTATAAACATAATATATATATATATATATTTTTTTTTTTTTTACTCTTATTCATACCCTTCGGCGACGGTCCGTCGCAACCCCACGCCCGTTGCAGCAGCCCCGCCGCAAAAGAGGTATCCACGCGGCCGAAGAAAAATATCATCGACTACATCTTATCGCCGGACAAGTCTCTCTTTAAACGCCGCCAATGCACACAATGAACTCGCTCGGCGTGACCGTATGTATTTACACTACACCAAAGCAATAATAATAATAATAATAATTATACTATAAACACCTATTATGTTTGTCCGAGTATAGGGTTTTTCTTATACTTTATTTTTTCTTCCATACTTTATTGGCGCGCAAAGGTATCCCTATTGTTTTTTGTACACTAAATTATTAAATTGTAACACACTCTGGTCCCCGTTCTTTCTTATCCGTGTGTACAAGAGTAAGTGCACAGGACGAGGCCGTCCGGCCCTGACCTTGATCGGTCTGGACTTATAGTTTATATTGGAGCTTGTTGTCTCGTCGGGCCATCTCTTGAAGACAAAACCGGCCCCGGACTCGTTTTCCGACCGTTAAATATGCCATGTTTAATTTATATGGAAATCTAAAAAATTCCCAGCCACCTCTGGAATAACTCTCTTGGTTTAATAGAGGACTCTTAAATAATTCCTTATACCTACATACGGTTCGAGATTACGCTTGTCGGATAATATAAACGAGATACGTAGGTAGGTACGTACCCAACTGTAATCGATACATTGTATAGTTGTCACTTTCTGTGTACAAATAACCCTGGATTATAATGTAATTCGAATAATCTGAAGTACGTTAAAAAAGTAATTGATAGTCTTAAATTAAAGATATTTTATACATGACTTAATAATGTATTTAACTTGACCAGTGCGGTGTCTGTATTGGTACAAAAGCTCTTCGTATATAGGAAACAATGTACCGATTAAGCAGATTTCCTATAGATATAATGTAGCGCGAGATATTATAATGCACATTTAGATTAGCCGTATTGATAAAATTGTCACGAATGAAAGCGTTAATCATACATGAGAACTTGGTCACTTAGAGGTCAGGTAGCTTGACTCAGCAAATTTTAATAGACCTATACTTAGTTAAAATAGTAGGCCACTTCCGGCTAACTTAGAACAATATACAATAAGTCTTATAATTATTATAGGAAATTATTGCATTCTGAATGCATATTATTCTACACAGCGATTTGCAGCTTCCTTCACAGCAATATTAATACAAAATTTCATTAGTATTTTATTAAAAATGAATGATATTTTTATAATTGGCACATTATTTGTACCTCATGTTGTGCATTTAAGTTTTGACAGATATTTAAAACACAAATGTTTTCAAAGTTTTATACAGATAGAGAATTATTTTTAAACAAATATTGGACTTGATAAATATTTCACCGATCCCCAACAAAACATTTAAAAAATAAATTTTTAATATATATCTTCAAATAATTGCCGTGTGGAGTTGTTTTCATTTATGGCTGGTTTCGTATCCTTGTAAGGAAACACATAATAGTCGCATAATCAAATGTTTTTTTATGACGGCAACAAATACCATAGTAATCCACATTTAAAAACATGTATTTTTTATTATACATTCTATTTCCAAACCAGCTGTACTTGAGAAATTTAACAAAGGGACAACGTTTATGAAACATTTTTTTTTTGTGATTAACTGACAAAATGTAAGTGAAAAAAGAAACATTATATTAAAGCTCATAAGACCTAATCTATCTCAGATTCGCACCGAAGTTCTTAATACTGCACAAAAAGCAATATATATATTTTTAAAATACAAAAATAAAAATTGTACAAAAATATTTTGTATTTTAATTATTTTCATTAAATTAATAATACATATATAATTTTCTAGATAAATACAATTCCATTATAACTACCGTCCTTAATACTCGAGTTGTATCTAATCTTGTTGCCAGCTTTATAATTATATTATAATATGTAGTCTGTAGCTTGACTATTTTCCATATGAGTAGATTAATTTTGGCCTGGTTACTTGTTATTTTAAGAGTGTTGCGTCTTAGACGTGGAGTTCAAATTGAGTTTTTAAAACACTTCATCGGTAGGGTATAGCGTGACCGAAAAATAATTTATAAATATGAGTGGTAAATTCCGACCAATTTCGTGCGTGTTCGGTTTAGGATGAACAATGAACAGAAGCTATAGTGATATATATATATATTTTGGTAGTCAGCTCAATGGTAAGAAAGAAAACAGAAAATTTAATTGAGATACACTAAAAAAAAAAAAAAAATGGTAGGTATAATTTACTTTTAAAAATATATAAAAAAAAAACCCAATCGACAATTAATGTAGAGCACCACTTCAATTGAACTGATTTATATAGGTATTATTAACGTTTAAATGTAATAACACCATATTATAGAAAATATTTTTGAGAAATGTGTTAATTCAACGGACGTTCAACAAGTATTCGTTATAAGTCGCACGAGGGAAACGCAAAAGGGGAAAACTAATATTTCTTCTTTTCGTCCTAATGGTCTAAACTCTTAGCGCATTGTTTATAGCATTATCTTGCAAATCCATTGTTTCCGTTGCGATCAAGACGCATCTTGTCGTTACGTGGCACATCGTAAAAGTGCATACAGTACTTTAAAAATATTATCATTGGTTAATGTTAACCTATAATAGGCATTATACTATTATTTGTTGTGCGTCGGTTGAAATAAAAAATTGCCACCGCTAGTACGGCGGCATAGAATGTTATTCGAATACATAACGTAAGAACAGTGTTTAACACATTATAATTGTGTTGAATGTCCGATTCATTACAAAAATACACATCCAGAACAACCAAAGTACCAACCAAAGCAACTCGTTAAACTAATGACCGTTCTAGCCGGGTTAGCTTCAAAGTTAACTATGATTTAACAACACTATACAAATATAGGCTAACCGCTAAACTGTACTTAAATATACCTACTCTACAGAACGGCTGTATACCGCCATAAAGCAATGTCATGGATTTCTATAAACTTATTTAAAATGTTTAATTGTATAATTGTATTAAACTTCACTCAGTTAAAAACTAATACTGACTTGAAATGTTTGTGGTTTTAATTTGGTCGAATTAAAATTAAAATTATACATCTAACTATTTGATTTAAGAATTTTTTTACATTTTCTTAAATGTATACTCAAATATCGTAGTATAAATTTTAACACCAAGAACACGTGTAGATCTCAAAGCGAAAAGTAATTTAAAAAGTATTAGAATATTATGTGTTACTGAAAGTTTAACGTTTATGTGACGGATTTTTTCAATATTTTTTTTTTAAACCTTTTGCAAGGATTTTTGCTATGTTCTGTGTGGGTTTTAATATTGGATCTATATAAAAGTATCATAAGAGTATTTGTTTTAAGTTTCCAGGAAAGACATTTAAAAAGGAACTAAGAGAATGATCTCTATAACAGTCAATGTTTGTATCTTGTCGTCCATAATATATTTTGCAATACAAAAATGTGTAAAATCTCATCAGCTATAAATTTATTATTCAAAAATAAAAAAATCACACCTTTAGGCGGTCGATACTATATATTTGTTCCTTTTTTTTTTTTACTTATCGTTGCGAAGTAGGTCCATTATATTGGTTGAACGTCAGGTAAAAATAAAATTCTCTAGTCAAAAAACTACCATATGCGAACCGAATACTTAATTGCTTGTTGTGCTAACTCTGACATATAGGCAGAGTCGTCCATTGTTCGGTTGAACAAAATAATTGATTATTCTAATGGTATAAAATTATTCCAATAGAGATGTATTCGTCCTTTTGTTGACACTATCTAACAATTTATTCGAAAAATATTATTGGAAAATTACCGAATAAAAAAAGTATTCTATTAGAAATGTATAGTTTTCAATTCGATTAATACACGTTATTCGGTTCGATTAGTAATGTATGTTTAACTATACATTTTGCCCAACTCTCGAGTATATAAGTGCTGTCCGTCGCTCTAACCTTATCCCACGGGTTTAATTGTGAGAACAAAGGGAGAAAAAGCGAGACCCAGGTACAAGTCAATCGGATTAACGTCGGTTTTGTAACATAGCCGTTCGTTAAAGTCTCCGGCGGTCCAAAAAACATTAAACGGTCTATAAAATAAATAAAATATATATAAATTAAAAACCAACGGTTGTCATCCGACAAACGGGCAGATTTGTCCGGGTGGTTTGGAAGTCAATGGCACCCAACCGGGGTCAACGTACACCGTCGGTCGAGGTTATACAAAGTTCACGCGTGTAAGATATGTATATGTATATATAAGTAATAATAATATTTTACGCCATATAAAGTGTATCCTACTGGCGAAAAAGGAACAAAAAACGAAAAAATAAAAACTTGTTATTACTTATTATAATATTTTATCCATTATTGGTCGGCACGCGGACAAGTTCGCCCACTTTGTGCGTCTAAACGTCTCGGCCACAGGTTAACAGTCTAATGCGCTAATAGACTAGCTACCGCTCTTCCCCCCCCCCCCACATGTCGTTGTTTTAACACGGTGACCACTCGTTGATGGATCACTACTGCTAAAAGAAACGGCAACAGCAACATAAGTTATTTGCCCTCCACGTCCATTTCTCTCTCTCTCTCTCTCTCTCTGTCTCGTCACGAACACAACTCAAAACAACCGGATAGCGTTTGCTTAAGGGTTTTAAATGTATAAGCAGTAATATTATTTGCAAAAATTGCTCGTTCGGGTCGGGTCGGGTCAATAGTGTTTTGTAGTCTAAAAAAATAAACCTGTCTCCATAGTTCGCTGACCACTTACACACCTACGTATACTGTATAATTCAAGATATTATTTATGTATATATATATATATATATATACATTATGTACATTTTTTAAGTTAATCACACATTAACACACACACACATATATAAAAATATGTTTTTTATCGTGACGGCTGTAAAACCATCCACACCCAATCCTTGCCTTATTTCGCTCGGATAGAACCGCACCACAGCTCTAGGTGTTAAATGCGAAAATGTAATTTTTTTTTTAATAATATTTGCATATCGTACGAAGTTGGTTAAATCGAATCAAATAAACATGCGTATAACAGTCGTACGGTATTTTTATTTTCGCTATCCACATTTATACATATTATAATAGCGTATAGGTAAGTAGTTCTGGCACGATTA